AAACAAATCGGCACAAACAAAGCAGGGTAGTTTTGATTGCTTTAGTGAACAATTATTTTTCTTCTTGTTAAATCGATCTGTTAATACTGATTCATCGTTGTAATATCTCTTGGGAGGTGAACTGCCAACTGTACTTAATCTTTTTTGCGGCCTTCCTTGCTTGTGCTGGAAATTAAAACTTAACTGTTGAGTGGCTATTCAACTCCAAAATACTAGGTGTATAGCACACGAAACATAAGGACAACATCGAGTATAACTGCAATGGGGCTTACATTGTTTTGACGAGGCTTTGCATGGTTATTCCGACAAGTGCATAAAGATATAAGATTCGTTGTGTTTAAATTTAAATGCTAATTTTCGATAAATTTTGTAAAATTGTGAAAATTTTGATCATGGTCTCTTATTGTTGCTATGTTTTGACATTGTGAACTTTGTTTTTAATGAAATTTTATATTGGGACCGTGCAAGTTCGGAACAGCGACACCTGGTGTCGTAAATCAGCAAAATTTACTGCGCTTTCATGTTAGATCGAGGTTACAGGATAACTGTCAAGGACGTAGCCCCAAAAAAGAATAAGAAGAAAAAGTAAGATTGAGGTTATGTCGGTATGTTATTAAAAGGTAAACATTGTATGTAGGGTAAATACAAATAAATATATTATTAAATGACAGCATTACTGTTGATATGGATGCAATAATAAAAACTGGATGTGAGAAAGTAAATCACCAAATAACTTTTCAACCAAGCACTGAGTCAAAGGGAAAAACTTTAATAGTGGCAAATGTCAAAAAAGAATGGAAAAATTATGTGAAAGAATTAAGAAAAATAAATTACCATAAATAACGCTAATGCATAAATTAGCAGGTTAAGCCCATGATATCATCATATTGGTTTGAACAATTGATTCTTTCCCTGTAAACTTTTGGACAGAGAATATATCTTAATGCATCTTCAGAAAAACTTGAACTTGATGCATTTTTGTAAACTTCAAAAAAATAAAATTTAAACATTAAACTTGATTTTTGGGTTAAAATGAACTCTAAGTGAGTATTATGAAACTAAAATTTACACTTAAAAGTGAACTTTTATTTATTATTTATTTCAAACTGACTTTTGACTGAATCGGGCGCAAGAATAATGCATAATTTAGGTTATGTTACTTATGCTTTTTCTTTATATAAATCCACTTTTCTCTTTGTAGTAATTTGTGCTTCGAAGTTGGAAACGAATAAAACTTAAATTGACAATTTTTTGTTGTATGTTTACAATTTATAACACAGCATTTCCTAAATCCCATTTTCTTCAGTGGCAGAAGGTGTTAATAAACAAACGAATATGAAATATGACAATTGACAATATGAATTTATGAAATCTATGAAATGTAAATAAACAAACGAATATGAAATATGACAATTGACAATATGAATTTATGAAATCTATGAAATGTGCAGTAAAAAATGTAAGATTTCTCCGCTACTCGCGCACGATCGTTTCTCGTATCACATCCAAGTACTTGCACGTCGCCAATAATAAATATCAATCTGTTGAAGTGTTTTCAGTACCCACTCAAAACACTTACAGTAAACTTCACATTAATTGTGAGTTCTCTTGATGACTACGTAGTGTAGTGCAGTACTATTTCTGTACATCGCACTCTGCGATTGCAGAAGTTAGAAAGAGACAGTATGCAAAAGTGAAACGCATTTTTAGCATCTGATAAAAAAATACAAAAAACTTTTGTACGACAAACTCTAGTAAATACACATTTCTGCAGTGTACAATGAGTCTTACTTATAGGGACGAGAAATTACAATAAATTAGATCACTGATAATGTCAAAATATAAAACTGGATATGTTTATTTTGCACACATGGTAAATTTTGATAAATCAAAAGTTACATTTTGATATGAAACTATTTTGGAAATTTTGTAGAATGTCCGTAATAAATACATCTACGAAATTTTATTTACCTTGTATATGATATTGGCTGATAAATTGGTTATATCTAGTTTTTGAATTCAGGTATACATTTTAAGTACTAATAATATAAAATAAATAAAATAATGAATATTAAAAGAATTCTACTACTGTAAACAGCATAAGAAATTTGGACAGTTTATCAAAAAGTGATAAAAACCATTTAAATTTATTAAAACATTGGGCCAAAATATTAAAATATGTTTAATATTGTCTAAAAAGTTTAACATTTTGTTTAAAAACATTCTTACTCCACAATAACATCATTTTACCAAGTCAAGAACATTATTCGAGTCCTCTATTTTCAGATGATACTACTTTTGATATACAAAATGCAGAATAGCAAATGGTAAAACGAACAAGTCTCATTGTTTCAGCGATTTGGAAGCTTATATTTAAGGCACACTAGAAACTATTTTTGCATTAAAACCAATACTTAAGTCATGTGATATTTGTTTCAATAAGATATCGTATTGTGTTGATCTCATGTATATTACTCGGAAGAGAATGATTTCCACAACGCCTTGTACGCATAAAACAGCCAAAAAATGTTTTCCTTTTCTTACAAACAAATACCACATCACAAATAAGTATGTTATAAACGTTTATTACTATATTTTCGGTTTGATGAGACTTGTGCCATTTGTAATCCGCACAAATTGGTTTAAAAATTCTAAAAGCTTCTATAAAATTGAATAAATTTTGATAGTACAAAATTTGTTATTTTAAAGACGGAATACTTGAACGAATGAGTCACTTTATATTTAGAACCACAGCGTAAGCTAAGCAGCTTCTGTGTGTTGCGTCAACTACAAAATGTGTGTTAATCTCAAGATATACACGAGCTGGATCAAAAAAATATTAAAAAAGTATTTTTTTATCTATTAAAAGAATCTGTTTTGTTTTAAGGAACGTAATTAGCATTTTCAATATATTCCCGTAGAAAGTTAATACAGTAAAACCCGCTTAATACAAGCTTATAAATAATAATACGACTTCTTACATAACAATACCTCCCCAGTTAAATGGTAGATGTATTTATGCAATATCTAACAGCCGGCTGTTTCCATTAGTTGGACAAAGTTGACAACCTTTCGAGCAAGGAAGATGTATGTTTCCTTCATATTAAATCTTACAATGTCGACCTAGTGTCATTAATATATTAAAATTCACCACGATTTTCATGTAAGATAAGGATTTCTACATCTGTTTACGTAGCTAGTATCAACCATTTTTAATGTTTTTTCACTGATGATGGACCGAAAACGTTTTGAAAATTTGTAATCCTTTTCAATAAATTTTAAATATTTTTTTATTAAATAATATACCATAATACACAAGAAGGGTTTAGTTTACCGAAAGTACAAGCTGAATATAGCCGCAAATGTCAACCATGAAATAAAATATTTCGGTTTGGCAGTGTTGGGATGTTTTCATAATGCATATGTTGTATGCTTCAAATATAAAGAAAGCTTTTACAAAGTACATTTCGATTATACTATTTTATGAATTCTGCAATTTTTTATTTATATGAAACAATAACGAGTAAATATTTGTCTCCTTCGAGATTAATTGCAAACATCTGTTACAATCTGGCAACTGCTGATTTGACGATTGCCAAATCTATCCCCTAATTTATAAAAGGGCAATTGCCAAAAAAAATTTCTAATAATTAACTGCAATTAATCTCCAAAGATTTACTCATTCCTTTTTTAGATATATCAAAAATTTCTGAATTCATAACATAATATAAACAAAATGTACTTTTCTAAAGCTTTATCTTTTTATATTTTAAGCATACAGCATCTACATTATAAAAACATGTCAACACTGCTAAACCGAAATTTTTTGTTCCATGTTTGATATTTGCGGCTATAATCAGCTTGTACTTTCGGTAAACTCAACCCGCAATGCATAAAGTAGCAGGTTAAGCCCATGATATCATCATATTGGTTTGAACAATTAATTCTTTCCCTGTAAACTTTTGGACAGCGAATATATCTTAATGCATCTTCAAAAAAACTTGAACTTTATGCAATTTTGTAAACTTCAAAAAAATAAAATTTAAACATTAAACTTGATTTTTGGGTTAAAATGAACTCTAGGTGAGTGTTATGAAACTAAAATTTACACTTAAAAGTGAACTTTTATTTATTATTTATTTCAAACTGACTTTAAAATCGGGCGCAAGAATAATGCATAATTTAGGTTATGTTACTTATGCTTTTTTATAATATAAATCCACTTTTCTCTTTGTAGTAATTTGTGCTTCGAAGTTAGAAACGAATAAAACTTAAATTGACAATTTTTTGTTGTATTTTTACAATTTATAACACAGCATTTCCTAAATCCCATTTTCTTCAGTGACAGAAGGTGTAAATAAACAAACGAATATGAAATATGACAATTGACAATATGAATTTATGAAATCTATGAAATTTGCAGCAAAAAATGCAAGATTTCTCCGCTACTCGCGCACGATCGTTTCTTGTATCACATACAAGTACTTGCACGTCGCCAATAACGTCACCACATCCTTACGAAGGATAAAGGATAGAGGAAGAGGAGGCTGGTAACACTGCTTTGCTATCAGGGTATAAGTGAGCAGTGAGTATTGTATATCTCTCTACCTTACAGCCATGTTGATCTATATAAGAACTAAGATACATACAGCTTTTTGTCATAAATAACTTCTTTATACTATTTTATCAGAATCTTAGATGTTGTCAATAAATTTTGATGTTTTTAATATATTTTATTGATGTCTTTAACAAATGCCACACATCTGTTATTTTATGAGGAATTGGTGAATGACTAAAATGAAGTGGATACAATATATATGATAAAAATCTGGCAATAAAGTTGTCAATTTAAAGAATTCACATTTCTGAGAGCTTGGAGGTTACAATTTTGAAACCATATTTTAGAAGTGCTAATAACAACCAACATGGCAGCTTGCGAAATCCTTCAGAATCTTCAGCCTTAAACGGATTTTACTGTATATACTTCAATACTTCAAATTTGACTATCTACGGACCTTAGTGTATATCATTATGTAATATGTCTTTTAAATTACTACTATTTGACATATTCATACAAATTGTGCAATACTTTTCTTTGGGATTAAGCAAATCAGATGACCCACTCTAATTTTTAAGATCGCCCTGTAAACGGGAGGCACATTCGGGGACGGATTGAATACTTGTAGGAGATTTTATAAAATACTGATATAAAAATACCAAGTCTCACGGTTCTTCACTAAAATACCTAGTTAAGATAATTGCCATTGATACTGGAATGTACAGTTTATTTGTTTCAATCTTCTCTTCTCATAGGTGAAGGATTCCATCGTCTTTCGATTGAGTCTCTTCTAGATTCAACCCGGCTGCAAACAAAAATTATATGTCATATAAAAAATATAAAAGTAAAATGGTTTTTAGAGAATAATTTAAAGCAAATTTTTATTCTTGCCTGATCTCATATAAAAAGAGCCAGTAATATTTCCCAAAAAGTTTAATTGTTCATAAAAACAAAATAAAATTCTTCAATCATCGACTTATATGGCTAATTTAAGAATTCCATTTTTGATATATATATTTGCTATTTTTTAGAATATAACAATCAAAATGAAGTAATTACAAGATAACAATGATAATAAATAAAATAAACTGATTAGGAAAAAAATGAAATTAAATTGAAAAATTAAATTGAATTAAAATTTAATTTAATTCAGTCTGGAGGTGAATTCAAAGGTCTGGAGTGGCAACAACAGTACGGAATTTCAAATCGTAGACTTTTTAGGAAGCCTCAGAATGCAGACATATCCGTGGGGCAAAGGTCTATATTCTTTCACATATTCAAGATGCTAAAGGTTCTGTTTAAAATTTACTTATAAATGAGTCAAAGCTGGTTTAAGATTAAAAACAATGTCTTAAAAAACTGGTACCAAACAACAACGTACACCTTAATGTAGATACCAGGTTATAAAGAGATCAGAGAAAATGAGAAAACTGAAAAGTTTGGCAAAACAAGGAGCAATATCCGCTTTCCGCAGGAAGTAACCCTATTTTTAATGAAAGTATAACCAAAAAGCTACTAATCAATAATGATCTTACTGGCTTAATATGCTAAGATTGGAGTAAGCAAAAAGTTTATTCCTGAAACCCCACAAAAGAGCTTCCCACTGGATATTACTATTCGAGGCATAACTGAGAATACCATCAAAAACAATCTCACTGGCTTTAACACATCAGAATTTGAGCAAGCAAAAAAATGATTGCCTGAAACCGCATAAGAACTCCACTGGATGCACTCCTACTCTTTGAAGTATCACGTCAATAAAATGGGTATATCAGACAATGGGAAACTATTGTATCGAAAATTGAAAAGAAACAGAAGACTATATACTTAATGCGTGCGACTACATAACACTGTTTTGCAAAAAGTTTAAACTCTCATAACTCTACTAATGATCTAACACTGAACATAGAACGAATATTTATTTTTTAATACGGTTGGGCATTTAATCGACTAAGAATCTGCACTGTTCAGAGGTAAATTCATTATAAATCTGCTCTATTTTGGTTTAACTTGGTGTAATGCCTGCTGTAAGTTACTCGTTAGTGTCTGTTTCATTTTATGTTATACTGCTTCAATGAGATTTAGATCAGAACTGTTAGAAGGCCACGAAAAAACATTTATAGCGTGGCTTCCAAACCAGTTGTTGGTAATTCTGGCCATGTGAGGCCGCTTCATCCTGCTGAAAAATATAATTCCCGCAAGCATTTTGGGTTATATTTTAGGTAAGCTATTTTGATGTATTTGTTGCTTCACATGTTCGCAGAATTTACGGTACCTTCAATAAAGTAAAAACATCCTAACCATAGAACCCCAAATCATCACTCATTTAGGAAATTTTACGGCCCGATTCAATCGGTCTTTGTGAAAAGCCTCATGCTTAGTGCGGATTACTTGTTTGCTGTAATCAACACATACATCGAATTTTGATTCTTCCACTGGCCAAGAAAGTTTAGATTTTGCCCAAATAAGCCTGGCATGAGCATTTGCAGTTAACACTGGCTTTTCGTTTGCCTAGAGGAAAATATGTTAAAATATATTAAACTATGAGTACACTTTTAAGTTTTGTTAGCTGTAATTCAACCTTATAAAACTTCAATTCAGATTTATGTTTCGACTTGCGACAGCATTCCCTTAATAAATTAAATTTTATGATATCATTAAGCTGGAATTTGCCTTGGTGTATTTTTTCGACCTTTTTTGCAAAATTTTGCTAATGTCCTATTCCCATCAGAAACTAGTTTTGGTCGAACCGGGCTTTTACCTTTGTTATCTAAGATACTTCATGTCTCCTCATAATATGTAATTATATTCCACACTGTAGTTTAAGAAATATTAATTCCATCTGCGCCTTTAAGGACTGTTTTATTGGGCCAATAATTTTTATTCACCAACTCACGAATTTTTTAATTTGTAGAGATACCAGGCACCATTTTATTAAAATAATATAGGGATTCAATCAATTTGACAAGAAATTAATAAATTGTAGAATATAGGTTGACGTTTGTTAAAGTGTCCGGCTGCATTGTTTTCGCAGCCTAATTGTGTTACTTGTGTGGTTTTTAGCAGTTATTTCATACTGTCCCATTATTTAGTTGTCACTAATTTTTATACAGTTTGATGATCCTTTTGATGGTAATAGGTTATGTGAGTTGTACAAAACAATGTTAATTATGTTTTGTGATTATATATCATTTAAAATATTGCTTATCATAACTATTAAAAAATAATAATAAATTAACAGTCAAACGACTAAATTTTTGAAATATTTTAAATTGTTCCATTATATAGTTGTTACAGCTCGTACTACACATCTTAAATATAGCAGTATTTTAGATAAAAAAGAACTAATACAATATAATATATATTATTATTCTTAATATACTCACCCGTAAGATCTACAATTTCATCTTGATCATACTTATCGTCCGGGTCAGATCCGGCAGTAGTATTCGACTGATGCGATCCACTTGACATATGTGAACTCCTTCCAAAACTTCCCCTTCTCGGTGGTCCTACAGTTCTCTGATTGGCGGGCTTTACGGTTATAATCAAATTTGAACTGTTCGCTACCATCATGTCTGTAACCTGATCTAAAGTCTTACCAGCTACTTCAATACCGTTTACTTCTAAAACTTCATCATTTACTGCAAGAAGACCTGTTGATTCAGCAAGGCCACCAGGGACCAATCGCGAGATAAAGATGCCGGGAATTTTTTCAAGACCTTTAACAAATAATAAATAAAGTAAAATACCAAAAACAAAAAGATGTCTACATACAAACTATAAAATCATCAATAAGTGAAGCTTTAGTATGCCACAATATAAGATATGCTTTTTATAGAACTGAGCAGCATCATCAGGGACATCTGAAATAAGCCCCTGACGATGATGTAGAAAGCGAAAGTACTTGGGCAAGATTTGATTATTAAAATTGTGCTCGATATAACTGCCTTTAATTTTTCAAAGTTCATTTATTCAAGCATTCAACCTTATATCAATTTAAAAAATATTAACTGGCTATTTAACAAAAGGTCTCAGGTATCTCTTGAAAATAAACTGCTTCTGAACAAAGCTATACTTATACCAGTTTGGGCATATGAAAGAGGACTATGGGGCTGTAGTACAAAGATACTTCAAATATTGCAACCTAAAATACTCCGTATGATAAGTAATGTAGGAGCTCCATAGTATGTATCTAACCAAACACTTCACAATGATCTGGACATCCCATTACTTAAGAACATAATAAAGAATCACTTAATAAAATATAAAAATCACACCACTGATCACAACAACTAACTGATAAATAACTTATTCACTCAACCACTTTCCGAAAGAAGATTGAGGAGGGTATGGCCAGAAGACATACCGCAATAATACTTAGAGAACCGTCACTGGACGGTACCTAACTCACGTTTATTTACTTGCAGACTATTTACTTATTACTCTGTGTATAGAGTAGATTATAAACATGCAATGTAACAATAAAAAAAATAAAAATATATATATATATATATATATATATATATATATATATATATATATATATATATCACAATTTAATTGTTAGAAACTTTGGGAATAATCATAATAAATTCATTAAAAAATCAACTTACCATTTTGTGTAACTTTTACACTTGTTCCATCCCTTATGTAAAACCCCAAAGGCTTGTCAGATCCATGTTTTAAAAGCCTAACTCTCCTACATGTTTCTGGTACAATGTCTACATCTATAATAGCTGAAACTTGTCTAAAGTCGTGCGGATTTGATATGGGAAGAGTTTTTGTCTTTGCTGGAGTTCCACCCAATATGGTAGAAATTAAGTTTCTAGGTTTAAGCGTTCCATAACCATTCAGTTCTTCGAAACTATTTCCTAAAATACAATAGTTTAAATAATACACACTTTTGCCCTACCCATGTAACAGGTTAATCATTGAAAAATAAACATGCCATTGTTTATCCCAAATCGGAACGGAACAGTTGCTGCATTGTCAGTCCCTAAATCTCCAGAAAAGTGGACTCCAGATAAACCCTCAACCTTGCCAAATACAACGAGCTCTTCTGAAGATACCTACATAATATGGCCTCGATTTTTCTAAATCCGAAGAATGGCCTTATTTTATTACAGTGGAAAAATACTGATATTTAGTTAAATATAAAACTTACCTTTTCTTTGTATAATTATTCTGAGTAGTGGCTTAGCATTAAACAGTGCTCTTCTTAAATTATCATCATTATTAATGGGAAGCAAATCTTGATCACTAGGATCAATATATGACACCAAAAATGGTGTTTCTTTTAATCCATGTAAACGTTCAATGAGTGATCGAAAATCTTCAAATGTTGTTTGGGAATTACGTTCTACGCTAAATCTTCTAAACTCTGCATCAAACTAAAACAAAAATAGGTATTTAAAAAATGGTTACAACAAAAATATATTTCTGATATATTTTAACACCTCTCGTGTGTGTGTCCACGCTGTAAGTGAGCCCTCCCTCCCCCCCCCCCCCAGTTCAGCTGTTGACTTTTTTATATTAATGATATTTTTATTATTATCACGTCATTGACGTGATATATTGTTTTTTTTTTAATTTCATAAAAATAATTAACATTGTTATACATAATTTTCTATGGTATCAATATTGTTCTGAAAATAGGGTGAATCAATGGAGAAATACTTGCAATTCCTAGTAACGAAACAAAGAAGTTTAGATGCCTTTGTTGTTGAATACAGTTTATGTGCTCACAAAAAGTAAGCTTCTCATTGAAAGTAACACCCAAATCCCGAATAGAAAAAACATAATTTAGTGGCTGATTATTAATAGTATAGCTTGTTCCAATTCTATTAACTGTATGAGAAAAACTTTTTTTACATTTAAGTGAAGTTTGTTATCAGTGTTATCAGTAGTTGGTCTAAGTCATCTTGCAGCAAGGCTCTTGACCTTTTAAGCTATCTATAACTTTCCAAAATTTCAAGATATCTACATATTAGACATCTGCTATTTAGAAAACAGGAAGTGATGTTGTTAACGAAGATATTAAAAAAAAAAGTGGAAAAATATTGCCTCCTTGAGGAACTCCAGATGTTACTGAGATACTGTCAGACAGATGACAACCTATCTTGACTCTTTGGCTTCTCTCAGATAGTAGAGTTTTTAATCCATTCAACAAACCAAGTCTGTTGCAGTGGATATTTTGCTATAAAAACCATGTTGTGATTGAGATATTAAGACTTTAAATAACCAAGAAAGTTGCTTTGCTATAAAACAGTCGAAGAGCTTAGGGATTGCAGATTGTATACTTGTAACAATATTAAAATAATTTTTAATATTGTTTTCCTGAGCATTTCTAAATATAAGAACTACATAACTTTCTTGCCATGAAAAAGGAAACATAGAGGTTTCCAAAGATCTATTAAATGATATGATATAACAAATGGCATTACAAGGGTACAGACACAATAAGCAGTAAGCTTATTGGGCAGCTCATTTATGCCATTAAAAAAATCAGTCATTTAATCTTAGAAGGACAAATATTTGTACTAAAGTTGATATTTAATGGATGGATAGGTATGTAAAAGTTGTTGTTATTTGGTGAATATACAGTTTGGAAGAAGTTCATAAATAAATTAGCTAAGTATATCTTGACCATTCATTGCAGATTGGACTTGATAAAATAAGGAGTTAAGTAGGTGATGACTAGATCGCTTATCATTGATGTACTTCCAAAATTATTTTGGATCATTTCTTAGGTCAGTATCTATAACTTTAATATAGTTGTTGAAGCAAATTTCAGACAGTTGTTTACATTCAGCTCTTAGGTGGGAAAATCTAATATAGTCATCATCAGAACAATTATTAACATAAATATAGTGAACATAGTTTTTTCTCCAGAATCAGTCTTCTAAGCACATATTCATCATCATATTCATCGAATCATATTTGTGCACAGCGGTTCGCATGATTTACTTGTATCAATTATTTTTTATATATAAAAGAGTAATTCCTCATCTCAGCACCCCTTCTACATCGCGTGTCGATGTCACAGCACCCACTGTAAACACATATATGCACACACCTAAACATGACTGCTTATTAGATAAATAAATATCATTTTACAATGACTCAACACTGGCTGGGTATTAAAAAAAGTATTTAGGTACCATTATTTGGGTATTGTTTCTATACAAATACCACTTGAAAAATTTAAGGTCACCCGTCTCCCAGCTGAGCGTGTACAAATGACCAGTAATGAGCACTAGTGTCAGACACATTCATTTGTATTAAGAGTTTAATAGTATGAGTAGATGCAGATGCACCTCCCTGAAAATAATCCTGATGGTGCCCATGTATTTATGGTGTGTATTTATAATAAATGCTCTAGTTTTTTCTTTAGCTTTCTACTCAATCTATGTACTTCTTCTGCTCACATCTTCCCTACTCTAGCAACATTAATATTAACAAAAAAGATTTGAATTAATCATGCTTGGTTGTGATGGTAAAAGTCGCAAGGTCACGAAAAATATACCACGGATTTTAAGGGAATTTAATAAAAGATAAATAAAACGGCTCGTTTTAATTTTTTTATTACATAAGATGTGTTCCACTTTTAAAGTACTCACTACTAGAAACTACTGTGGTATTGAGGGTCTAGGAAAATAAATGTAGATATAAAGAAGAATAACAGAAATTCTATTTTATTTTTATAGTTTTAATTTTTTGTCTATAACTTTTTTGAACATTATAGAATGAAGACTACCATTTTAATAGATGTTTTATTGCATATGTATATTATTTCAATAATTTGATAATTCAATACTGAGCATACTTTTAACTTTATATATTTACACTAAACTTTTAGACAGTAGAAAAATAGTAACTGTTCCTTGACTGGAGTATTGAATGTTAATATTTTCTGCATCAAAATGTATGATTTTCAGTCAGGTTCAAAAAGTAAGGTCATTGATAATTACAAATTTACTAAAAAAATAAATAGAAATTACAAATTTACTATTGATATAAATGCTAAATAAAACAACATAAATTCCGTCAGAAAAATATGTTTTATTTTCTAAATCAAGTTAATTAAACTCAATAATAATTAATAATTATTAGTATACACTACTGAGTCAGAAAATTATGTGTACATTATTTACATTTTACTATTTCCATCATGATTCTAAAACAATTTCTATGTAATTCCAAATAAGGACAACCACCTTTTATCATACACAAAGCAATACAATGTTTTATTACTAAAGAGTCAGGTATGTACACCTTTATAAACAAATAGTAATTAAACATGTAAGGCTACCTTATCAAATGATTCATTCTCTGACTATTGTTTATGCCATTCATATTTTTACTCGATTTATGGACGACAATATATAGCGAAATAAATGATTTGTGTTTATTTTCAAATTAGATTTAATAAACATAAACAATAAAAAAGGTTTATCGTTAAATTACTTACTTTACTTTTCACCTCAGTTTTAGTGTCACAGGATCTCACTATCTTATTTTTAGACATATTGGCAACATTAACAAGAATTTATTACACTACTATTGATTAAAACTCTTCATAAAACGTATTTATTAATAAAAACAACAAAAAATTAAGGAAAAATCAAAACTAATCCCGAAATTATTTACGTTTGTACCTCATACTTTTCGCCATCAGCCATAAGTGTTTTGCATTGTTGCCACGTCTTTGAAAGATGTATCATGAATTATTAATGAGAAATTTCTAACTTTGAAAAGTAAATTTTATAAATTTGTAAAAATCGGTTTAAAACTGATGCTTCCAGAATGTATACATATTGTAATTACCAATATACACAATAAGTAAAATGTCATTGAAAATATTTGAATATTTTGTTTTGTTTTTAATATATTATCCTTATCTATGTATAACATCGGCAATACCGGTAAATATTTTTCTTCTTTTTCAGATTCGACAAGTATATTCCCCATTATTAAATCTTCTTCATCCAGTAATAAGGGTGTATATACTACTAAAAAAAGAAGAATATAACTGTGTCGTGTCAATTGCAAATCAAATAACTGTCTCTGTCAAAAAGTCAGTTTAATTAGTGGGGTATGTTAATTCTATATTTTAAAAATGTTTATAAGCGACGTAAATAAAAAAGATGAAATTAGAAGTATAGCAATTAAAAATTTAAGAAAACTCAACGCTAAACCGAGAATAAAGTATTCCAGACCAACCGTACAGGTAGTATACATACAGTTTCATTTATAGTATTCATATATTCTAAATTTAAAATTTATAGGTTTCAAAAGACAAACAATTATTTAATGTAGCTCTCTCAAAGCTTGAAAATGAGACTGTTACGCTCAGAAATGGTCAACAATTGGTTGTACCTAAACGACTGTATGAAATGTGTTCATTTATTTTATCAAAAGTTGAGACTGAAGGTTTGTTTAGGAAAGAAGGCTCAAAGAATCGCCAGAATAAAATAAAAGTGAGTTAGTAATAAACTTAACTTCGATGACATAATATTCTATAAATATTGTATTTTAGGCTTCTTTAAACAGAGGATACATGTTAGGATTAGAGCATCATGTGATAGACGTTGCTGTTATTTTAAAATGTTTTTTAAGAGAACTACCTGAACCGTTAATACCTTGTTCCTTTCATGAGTTGTTCCTGAGATGTTCAATAATAGAGAAGAAGGTTGAAGCTATTTTATTGGCTTGTCTCTTAATTCCTACAGAACATTTAAATGTGCTAGCGTTTTTAATGCAGGTGAGTTAAATTCTTTGTTAGTATTATTTTATATTCACTGTTAATTTACTTAATTCTTGCATTGTTTTCTTTGTTTTACCTTTCCTCTGTGGTGTAAACTTCAGAAAGTATATTTTTAAAGATGTTTGTGTATTGGATCATATTATCAATCTTGTAAATAATATGAGTAGAACATTAGACTAAATCTTATCTTATGTTATTGATGTATTTTTGTAGAAGTACTTAATTATCTGTTTGTTCAAGATGGTTATAAGTTATTCTTCCCTTGACTACTTGATTGTTCAGAACATACTGATAGTAGTAAATATAATATGCATTCATCCTTGTACAGAGTATGCTAGGAGTGATTTTTTCTCCTATTTTATCTAATTAGATTAATGAATTGAGAAGAAGTAAAGCATATTATTGATGGCAATATGCTGCAATGTGTGGAACAGGCAATACCCAAAAAAAATTTAATTGTAGTCACTTCCCTAAATGTTTTTATCAGGAATTAGTAAAATTAAAAAGAAAAATAAGCTACATAGACAAGTGTTATGTTTACTTTGTTACTTTATGTTATTTTTCAAATTATAAATGAGTAATTATCTCAGAAAGTCCAATAAAATTTTCATTTATCGTTTTCATCAAAAGTCGAACAAAATGAGAATATAAAAGTACTTCCAAACCATTGAAAAAAATATTGATACAGTGTACTCCCTCTATAAAGAATGGTTATTACGAGGTTTCACTTATAACGAGGTATATTAGATGTCCCATGAAATTTCTATTGAACTATAACCCTCTATAGCGAGGTAAATTTGCTTATAACAAGAAAAAATAAGATTGAAAAACGTGTTTTTTTACGTTTTGGCCCGGCCGTAGCTATAAATAAATACCCTTTTTAAATTCCGCTCGCAATAAACTTCTTACAATTTATGATTCTTAGTCAGAAATTTACAATTTATGATTCACAAGTGTCATTGTAGGGGGTTGACCATTCACACCTAATAATATAGGTCCTAATAGACAAGATGTGGAAAGTGTTTTAAAGGTTGTCAGAAACTTTATCCAAAGACAAAACGCAAATGAAGCATAAAACTGTTTCACATCTTTCCAGTTGCAAAAGCAGTAGTTTATGTTATTCTTGAAAATACGCTTTATACAGATTGACAGAATACAGATTTTTGTTTTAACATATATCATTGACAATAAAAGTAAACAACTTTTTTCAAAAATGCCATTCAAACAATATTTATTAGCATCTTATATTGCTCCGAATGGTTTCACTATAGAAAGTTAATGTTTTAGAAAACTACATATTCATATGTATGCACAGTATTATTGTTGTTGGATATAACGAGATCTGCTTATAACGAGGTAATTAGTCTGCCATTTCAGTTCTCTTTATAGAGGGAGTCTATTACTGTATACGATACTGTATTACCTATCTCGTTTTGGGTTCAGTTTTTATGAGGTTACCACCAAAAATTAAGTTTGATAAAAAATATTTACATTTTATGTTATCTATCTTTGGATTGAAGTATATCCATACTTAATGGAAAGATTTCAATACAAAGAGCTTGCTTGGCACTTAAAACATCTAGCAAACCATCGAAATGTCATAGCAATGGGCTTGCTTAATAACAGTCAATAAACACAAAGACTAAAACGTAAAATCCATTAGACTTGATTTATAAACTCACCGTAATTATAAAATAACCGTAAAATAAAATATTTACTGATACCCACATATTTTGAAAACATGCGAATGTTCCATTTACACTTAAAATCAAATGTTTGCAAAATAATAACTTTTATTTAATTTATAATTCGATATCGACACTACTATTCAGTATAATATCATAATGGTCACTCTGACACTGTTGCTAATTTCCTAGTATCTTACTCACTCTTGTTCCCGTAAATTTTCCAACGAAATTGCGTGCCCACTATACCCGGTGCCTACTAGCGTGCCGCTTACTGTATATAATTACATTAGGATTACTATTTCAATTTATTTACTTGCTAGATTTTAATTTAAATTAATTTTTTTCCGATTTACTGTTATTTTATATTTTTCAGTTTTTTAACGAGATCACACTGCATTCAGACAGTAATAGGATGGATTCATACAACTTATCTCTTATTATAGCACCTAATATTTTTACGCTGACTGAAAAAATATCTCCAAAGAATGAACTGGTGGTCAAGAAAAACATTGATATTACACAAGTATGTACAGTGCAAGTGTTTCTTGCAGGATACATTAATAAAATTATGTTTTTAGATAATGATTGATAATGCAAATAGTATAGGACTAATACCTGATTCCATTCTTGAACAAGTTGGGAATTTAAGGCCAGGTGAATTGGCTCTAGCTAGTCCTAAAGTAAAAAGAAGGAGAAGGAGTGGATCACTTACTAGTAAGTAAAACAAAATTTCTTTATTATTGATATTCATCACATTTAATTTTAGTAGTTCTGTAGCCACAATCACTTATTTTTAAATTATTTGAAATACTATTGGTGGCAGCATAACATTAAGTACATTAAGATCATTGTAAAAGTGTGTAAATGATATTTCTATGTGGTTCAATTAAAGATATAGTCCGTTCACATAGCTTGGGAATATTTTGACAGATTCATTGTTGGAAACATATAACACAAAAATTCCTAGCAGTTGAGCAGCGACTTGGTTTGCTGTAACCTTGCAAGGTGGTTTATGTTCTTTTGGAACACCGCTAAGTTTTTTTACAAGGTTCAATGCTATTTTGCTACTATGTGTCATGTCCATTTTTTCCAGGGTCTCAATTAACTTTTCCTGTCTGGCTTGACTTAGCTGTTGTAGTAGTACTGCTCAGCAGTCAACTGTTTCTTGGCTAAAAGGGTCAGTGGAATAGAGGGTTTCATATGTTCTCATTAGTTCTTTGGACTCACTGGACGTCTCGGGAACATATTGTTGTCTACATCCTTTGGGGATAGCTTTTCTAAACACATTTTTGAGTACCTGTACAAATTTTTCGTAGTTCTGTACTTTTGGTTCAAGACGTAGCAGCTCAGAATCTAGCATGTCTGCATATTTTGGATAGTTTGCCTTTTTGAAGTTAAATCTCCTTCTGAATGGAATAGCTTGTGGTCTGACAATTGGAAAGATATTTATACCAATTGGTCTATGCTGAGTTTTTGGTATGGGGCCATATACTACTTTGGTACATTGGTCTTCAAGGTTGTTACTTGAAAAACAGATATCTGGGTTATATCCTCTTTTCCAAGCTTTGCTCTGAAAAGATGGTGAAAGTTTAGGATCATGGATTAGCATAAGGCCACTAGTTTTGGTCCTAAACACCAAATCAGTACAAATTACTGCATATGCAGATGATGTAGCCATCATTAGTAGGAATAAGCCACGACTAATGGAAGTGTTCAAACAAATTGATCCTGAAGCAAGAAAAAGAGGTCTCAAAATAAACGAAGCAAAAACGAAGTATATGACAGTCAAAAGAATAGCTGACAATGAAAATAATATCACAATAGACAACTATACTATCGAACGAGTGGATGCCTTTACATATCTCGGCACAGAAATCAATCAGAAGAACTCCGTAAGTATCGAAATAAATGCACATTAAATCAGGTTAATGAGTTGTGAATGAATTGTGAAAAGTCAAAGACAGTTATGGCTGGGACATGCGCAGAGACAAAACGATGCAAAAACAACAAAGAAAATGTTACAATGGAAGCCCATAGGAAGGCGAAAAAAAGGAAGGCCCAGAACGAGATGGTTGGATGACGTGGAAGACGACCTGAAAACAATGAACATAAGACAATGGAGAAGAAGGAAACAAGAGAGATCTGAATGGAAGGATATAGCCAGACAGGCAAAGACCCATCCAGGGTTATGATGCCAAAAGAAGAAGAAGAAGGCTAGTTTCGGTCCATGCTTCTACTGTGTTTAAATTTGCGTCTGAATCTCCATAGCCGCAGAGTAAACTGGCTGTTAAAGTCTCCTAGTACAAGCTGATTGGGTTGTGATTGGAAGTTAGTCAGGGTGAAAATATAAAAGGCTGGTTTGGTAGCTTGTATACCGAGGTTATTGTGCATTTTACGATCTCAGTGGTTATTATCTCTATACCGTGTACATTTGTTGTTCCCACAGATGAGACTTTGGTTTGAGTTTTTACAAATACCGCGCTCCCATGCTTATTGTGTGGTATCTTCGCAATCAGTTCAATACCGGAGACTTTAGGTCTCGCTGCAGTTAGGTCTCTGTGGGTTTCCTGGATGCACAATACCTCACATTTCGAGTTCTTGCAGAATTCTGATAAGATGTCTTGTTTGGCTGTAGTGTTGGCTCTGAGAAGAACCGTTGTGGCTTGATGTTTGCCATCTGATTTAGTTTGGCCCGGTGTTGGAAGGATTAGCTGTCTACTAGTAGACATTTCCAGGAGGCGCCGTCAATAGTGTTTATTTTGTAGTTGATGTGGCACTATTGATCTCCTGGAGGCTCCTTCCTTGTTCCCCTAAAGCTCTATAAGATCTGTAAGCATCCATCGCATATCCATGCCCAGCACAGATAATAATCATTCGCTAACATTATTTCCATATGCTTTTAGGGATTTTTAATGGGTTCAAAAAGATTGTTACTAACAAGTCTGATGACATACCTGGTGTTAACACAGTCACTCCCGATCTACTTCTAACACCTTCCATACGCATGACTAAAAATAGGTAAGTTTTAATTTCAAATTTGTGTATTTCGCTGACATGTGTTGCATATAATGTAGTTTGATTTACGTTATGTACTAATCCATTATTGTTTAAATTAGTTTTTTAGTTGCAAATTTTTTGAACTAAGAAATTGATAATTGATATTCCAAATATTGAATATGTCAACCCTTTTTTACATTTGGATAACATATATATGTTTGAATATGGAGTTTAAACTAAAATTATCTAACGAAGAGATGACGTGTACACTGAATATATTAATAAAGTGTTTGAAGGCATGTAATATTTCAATAATGTTGAATTACAACATTGAATATTTTTAAACCGTGCATATTAGTTTTTTTTGTATACGTTCTTATACTTCAAATACGTTCTAATACTTTTTCAATTTCAGTTCCTATGAAAACAAACCCACTAAACACAAGCCAGAGCCAGAACGTAACAAAAAGGCACTCTTGCAACGTAGATGGTCCGCTATTACGTCCGCGACCAATCTCCGACGAAAAAAAAGGGAGTCTGTCTTGTACCAACCCCGAGAGGACAGCCTCAACTCCTCTCAAGAAGCGTACGTTCGTGTTCCAAAGGTTGAGTATGAAGAGATTAAAAACAGAGTATCGGCTATAGAGAAACGATTGAGTTTTGAACTAGAAACAGTTACTTCTACCGTTGTTCGTCGGGAAGCTAATATTATACAAGATATCCAATCAGAATACGAGAAAACCCTTGGCCAAGCTGAAGCGTTAAGTCCGGGAACTGACCAGCTGGCGAGAAGACTGAGCAAGGAGTTGAAAATTAGAACTTCCGAACAGAAAATTATTCGGTCGCCTAGCGCTCGTAAAATCGGTAATATACGTCGAAGATCTCGCGAACTTGTCAGAAATAACTCCCTTCAACATGTCCAACATGTACCTCGTAAAGTTACGGAAACTAAATTGACTCGTAGCATTTCTTCTCCACTGACTAATAAGAATTTTGTGAATGTAACTGGCACTCCTTCTTTTAGCAGTACTTCCCATATAACGTTCAAGTCCAACACACATAGCTTTAATTCTGAGAATAGTTTAGGAAAATCTTCATCTTCGGTTAATATTTCTGATGACAAGAATTTTTCGCGACACTCATCTCTACGAAGGGAAAGGCGTATCTTGAGACGAAGTAGCAATGTAACTCCTAAAAGAACTTTAATCAAAGAAAAATACAATCAGTTTTCAGAGGTTAATAAAGAGAACCATGTCAAGGAAATGGGAGGTAACACTCCAGTTCCTCATATTAAAAGAACATTACCAATTAAAGGTACTCCTAAAAGATTCTGTGCTACTCCTAAAGTAAATGTAAGAAGTACTCCGCTACGAGTATTGCCCAACGCGGAGTTTAATTATGTAAATGTTTAACGAATTTTTTATTGATATGTGAATATTTTGTATGGTGGTAGAATTTGATCATCTGTTTACGAAGTTAAAACTTCAATTTATTGGTAATTAGCAAGCCTCAGTGCAAGATAATCAATTTTATTGGAGCCAAAAGAGTTGTACTGTTAAAAACATAATTGATACATGTGTTAGGTAGAGTTGGTGCAAAAACCACTAACCTTGGAAATACGCATGCTCAAAAAATTGAATACTAAAAACATTAAATAATTTAATTTCATTCTGAATTACGTGGCATTTGTATGTTTTAAACGTGAAAGTCATCAGTCATATGTCCAATCATGTCCACAAGTGCAGTGCTTACCTCCCAACTAATACCTTCCCAAAGAATTATGCCACCGCCTCTAAAACTAACGGTCTGGGCGAGATTGCAGCTGGCGAATCATTCTCCAACTCTTCTGTAGACGCGGTTTTGACCATCTGGCTTCCATAATAGAATTCTGGTCTCATCATCTACAACATTTTTCCAGTTGTAGATATTACACTTAATATGTGTTCTTGCAAATTCTAATCGACGAGATTTATGATTTTGGAGAAGACGTGGAACTTTGGCGGGGCGTCTGGGCTTTAAGTTTGGTTCTTTCAATCTTCGTCCAACTGTTTCTGAACTCATATTAACTTATCTAACATTTGTGTGGTGCATCGATGTCAATAAACGATTTCGTGTAGAATTAAGAACCAAAAAACGGTTATCAATTGCGGGTGTGCACTTGCCCGTCCTTGAACAGGCCTTCGTACAAAATTTCCTGTTCCGCGGTACCTTTTTAAAGTATTCGAAACTGTAGATTGACTTTTCCTGAGACGTCGTGCGATATTTTTTGTGCATATCCTTCCTCGTACAAAATTACAGTCTGTGCTACTTGGGCTTAATCGAAGTGTCGAATTGTTGCATACTTGTTTTAAACTTAAATTAAATCAAAACAATATTTAATTAAACTTAATAAATTCATCATCATCATCATTCCTCAACCTCTTGCATCCACTGTTGGATATAGGGCTCCTCCATGTTCTTCCACTGTTCTCTATCTTGCGCCTTCTATATATAATTTCCGACTGTTTTTCTCAAGTCGTCCATCCATATTTTTGGTGGTCTGCCTCGGTATCTTTTGTCTTCTCTAGGTCTCCATTCTATGAGTCTTTTGGTCCACCTATTATCATTTAAACGTGCTATATGTCCAGCCCATCTCCATTTGGCTTGTGCAATTTTTTCTATGACATCTGTCACTTTAGTCCTCTCTCTCACTATCCTATTTGGTACCATATCTCTTCTAGTTATTCCCAACATTGCTCTTTCCATTTTTCTTTGGGTTACTCTCAATTTATTTGCAGAAGTAAAGTTATTGTTTCGGAACCATATGTTATTACTGGCTGTATGCATTGGTTGTAAACCTTTTTCTTCAAGCAAATCGGTAGCGTTCCTTTTAGAATATCTCGCATCTTGCCAAATGCTGCCCATCCCAAGCCTATGCAACGCTGGATCTCACAAGTTTGATGGGCTTTTCCTATTCTAATTTCATGCCCTAAATAGATATAGCTAAAGACCTGATGTACTTCGTTCCCATCTACCCTCATAACATCACTTGGAACTAAATTGGTCATGTATTTTGTTTTTTCAAAGTTTATGTTCAGGCCTATTTGTTCTATTGCCTGTTTTAGTTCTTCCATCATTTTGTGAGCTTCATTTAAACTCTCGGCTATAATGACAAAATCATCTGCAAAGCGCAAGTGGCTTAAGTATTCACCATCAATATTTATTCCCCTTTTAGCCCAATCTAATTTTTTAAAGGCATATTCCAGAGCTGCAGTAGTTGGGGGGAGATGGTGTCACCCTGTCTAATTCCTCGCCCAATTCTATATTTATCGGTAAAGTCATGGAGTTTAACAGATGCTGTTGCGTCGTTGTATATATGTTTTATCAAATTTGTATATCTATAGTCTACTCGGCTTTGTTCTAATGCTCCTAATACTACCGGTAATTCCACGGTATCAAAAGCTTTCTTGAAGTCTATGAAAATCAACGTGAGTGGTTTATTATATTCAACACATTTTTCAATTAGTATTTTAAGTGCTTGTAGCTGGTCATTTGTTCCATAACCTTTTCTAAACCCAGCTTGCTCCTTAGACTGATATAAATCTAATTATCGTTCTAAACGTTTTGTGATGATCTTGGTAAACGATTTGTAGAGATGTGACAACAGACTTATCGGTCTATAATTCTCTAGTTCTGATATATCTCCATTTTTTGTGTATTAGGATAGTAATTGCATTGTTCCATTTTGTAGGGACAATACCTTGGTTTAGACATAGGTTGAATAGTTCAGTTACTACTTCCAGCAGTTTCTTGCCTCCTACTTCTAGCTTCTATTACTATTGTGTTTTGTCTTCTTCTGTTAACTGGCTTTTGTATAATTCTTCATAGAAGGTTTTTGCTATCTCTACTATTCTCTCTCTATTTGTTGTTATATTACCTTCCTTGTCTTTTAGTTTAACAATTTCTTTTTTACCATCACAAAGCTTTCTTCTGAGTATTTTCATATTTCCATTTTGCTCAATCACATTTTGTATTTTCTCAGTATTATACTTCCTCTGATCTTTACGAATTGCTTTTGAGATATCTCTGTTCAGATTTCTGAGTTCAGCTGAGTCGCCTTTCTGCTCTGATCTCTTGATTTTTCTTTCTTTAATGAGCTTTCTGGTGTTTTCGCTCAGTTTCTCTTCTTTTCCGGCTGGTCTAGCACAGTACTGTTTTTTTGCAGTCATTAACGCTTCTGTGATTGCATTATTTACGGTTTCAACATCTGTCGAAAGAGGGTGGTTTAAGGCCCGATTTATAGCTTTCACATATTCTTTTGTGTTTTCTGGTGTACTCCATTGTTTCAATTCTCTTCTCTTTATTAATCTTGTTCTTTCATTTTTTAAGTTGAACTGTATTGTAGCTCTCACTGCTCGATGATAGCTACCAATGCCAAACTGATTTAATACTGTGACATCTTTGACATATCTTTTATGTGTTGTTATGAAGAAATCTATTTCATTTTTTACGTTTCCATTTGGGCTTACCCATGTCCATCGTCTATGTGGCTTCTTTTGGCAAAAACCTATTCATCAAATATAACTGATGGTTATGAAGAAAATTTAATAGTGTCTGGCCTCCCTCATTTCGACCTTCTAAACCGTGTTTTCCTATTGCCGTCTCTGCATCATCAATTTGAGTTCCTACCTTGGCATTGAAATCCCCCATAAGAAAAGTAAAATGACATTATGTTTCCGATAATGCTGTTGTTAAATCTTCATAGAAGTTTTCGATTTCTTCTTCTTCATGTGCTGATGTTGGAGCATAACATTGTACAACTTTCATTTTGTATCTATTATTCAGTGAAATTATTATGTATCACTCTCTCTGATATTTGCTTAATATCCAATATACTGTGTACATGTTTTTTTATGGATAAGCAGACCAATGCCACCATTTGAGTTTTCCAGGTTGCCATTTGTGTATAGCATGTGACCTGATTTCAAGGTTAGAAGTTGTTCTTCACGCTTCCGTCTAATTTCGCAATGTCCTATTATGTCCCATTGTATACTACTCAGTTCTTCGTCGAGTTCTAGGAGTTTATCGTCTGTTGATAGTGTTCTTACATTGTATGTTAGTAGTTTAAATAGTCTGATGTGTTTTCTATGCGTGTGGAAGTTTTGATAAGTCAATTTTCTGTCCCTCCCCCCCCCCCCCCCCGAATCCTTGGGACTGACCAAGTTGTTCTCGGTGCAAGATTCTGAACGATTCGTTCTACTTGCCTGGGGTATTCTAGTTTTGAACCTTAAACTAGTTGAAACTCTAGTTTGAAACTTAATAAATTAAACTAAAAATAAACGAATTAGTATGGTTTTTTCTTTACGTGAAGGTTTTTTATGATAAAATGTACGAATAACACTAAACGATGAATAAACGTCAAAATATTTCAAACAAGTTGAGCACATCAGCCTAATATATGAGTATCATCAGTATTTTAAAATTACTTTGAAATAATAGTGACTACAAAAAAAGTTCGGAAAATTCCAAAATATTCGATATATTTGTCATGAGTGTATTTGTTATAAACGATAAGTGTTAAAGGTATCAAGCTCTTTTGGTAAATTTCCTTTGGTAATTTATAACCTTGTTATGTAGTTAGTTATTTTGGACCTACTTTTTTATTTTTACACAACGCAAGTAGTTTGTAAAATATTTTTGTTAACCTGAGCTGACAGGTTGTTTTGAAAAAATTGTAATGGATTTGTCAGACGAGTTAGGTACAATTGGCGGTTTATTGTAATAGGTAACTATCATAATCAGTTGTGAAAGGTAGGTGGTATTTAGCACCAGTATCCCAGTAAGCACAAGTACGTACATAAGACAAACTGAGTACGTACTTAAAACGTACATAAGACGTACTACTACTACTACTACTAAGGATTTCCACAGTTTTCACTGTCTTCCTTCACTCAACCGTTTTCTCCAATTTTCCCTGTCATTCCAGTCTCCATCTCGCAGGGTTCTTTTCTCCATAGCCTCGTCGATTTCATCTCTGAATAACCTTCGGGGTCTTTCTCTCTTTCTTCTTCCGATCGGGCTATATTCTGTAATTTTGTTTATCCAGCGTCCTCTGTCCGCTCTTCTGTCGTGGCCGTACCAGGATAGTCTCTTCTCTATATAGTCGATTATGTCTGATTGCACTCCCATTCTCCGCTTAATCTCTGCGTTTTCAATTATATCTCTTTTTGTAAGTCTATAGCTTCTCCTCAGGAACTCCATTTCTACTGCTCTTATTCTACCTCTATTTCTCTTGTTTATTGTCCAGTTTTCGGACCCATATGTCAGGGTATTATATATTCTCTTTTTTGTCTTTATCGTAATGTTCTTATCCCACAGCACTGATTTTAGTTGTCTTATACAGTTTCTTGTTTGTCTTAGTCTGTTGTTTATATCTTCTTCTGTTGAAGGTAGACCGGTCTA